ACTGTCATTAGCTTCCTTTGGCCGTGTTATTTATCTGGCAAAAACGAAAAACAAAAAAATACGCAAAATCCCAAAGTCTCAGATGCATAATTGCGTATTATCAGCGTTTTACATTGACATTCTGTGCATTTTTAATGACTTCTTTGAAAGGAGACTCTGAGACTGAAAATAAAGAAATCGACTGTCTGAGCGACTGTCTGATGCATTCAGACATGCCGAGACTCCTAATACAGAGAGAGAAAAAACAAGGCAGGGACAACGAGGGAAGGCTTAAGTATACATCATTGACATTTGACAGGCAGACGAAGAGAACTGTCTTTGTTTTTTATTATTATTATTTTTTCGTACATTTTTTTCGGGCTTTTTTTGCCACCAAAACACCCCCATTGCTTTAATTTTATGCAGCGTCAAGAAGTAAATTTGTATGTTGTATTTTTTTCAATTTGGAATTTATCTTTTTTTTGTATTTATTTTATTTTGTGGCAACCCAACTCAAATCGTTCATTTCAATGATGGAACTTTTTGAGTTTATTGTCGGATATATATGTACATATATATATTCTCTGCAGTTTTGACAGATATCTCTTGAAGTTTTAAGTGAGTGCGACGGAAATGCAATGCCAAGATGAATTTAAATTAAATGACAAGCTAACTTTATAATATTTACTGGAACCAAAGAAGTTGTGTAGAAAATATCTTTAATATGTCTAAATAACTTAACCCCTTATTTCTCTAGAAAACCCCTAGCATTTTGCCCTCCAATCAATATATAGCAAAGTGAAGAAATAGAGTTTGACTTTGGTTTTCCTGGAATTTAGCACTTTTAACTTCCGCCTCGCAGAACACTTCCCAGAATCTTTTGGGTCTGGGTCTTGGGGAGCACTTGTAGCTATATGTTGCCATGGGAATATACATATATTTGAATGGAGATCGGTTTTTGGGATGCTGTTCTTCCGACAAAGGCCATAAATAATCCAAATAATAGCGAGAAGATGTGTCACATCCTTGAATCGCCGCCGACAAAGCGAAATAAATCAAATCAAATGCGAAAATAATGGGCCAAAGATGTTTTTAATATATAGAGTATAGAGATAGAGAATCTCCTCAGCCATTGTGTAACTAGAGCTATCCACTTTGTCGGATTTAAGTTCATTATATCTGATTAATTGGACTTGTCTTGTAATATAGTTTATGATATGAAAACTATTAAATAGTTAAATTGTAGAACTTTGCTTCAAGTTGAGTTTATGGTGGCTTCAGCTAAATCAGTTCTATTTCGGGTTTCTTTGAATGAAAAGGTTAATAAATGAATATAAATAAAAGTTATTCTGTCAAGCACATCAATTAAATCAATGAGTAGAGAAGAACATCAAAGGAACATTCCGTGAGTACCACTCGAGTTAATCTTGTCAACTTAAGCTTAATTTATTTCCTAATGAAATATTTTATTAGCTCTCAATGGACTTTTTTTTGGGGGGGTACTATAAAGCAAAAGGAAATATATTATAAATAAATAGTAACTATATATGTTTTAACAAATAATTTATATCTTTTAGCATAGCTTTACCTTATGAAAGTCAAGACTTTAATTGTGTAGAATGTCTTATCTTCATTCCTAAACAAAATTACTAATTTATATATTAATTAACGAATGAAGTCTTACTTATTTTAAATATTTCAACCTTAGATCTTTATAATATATGTATTTATATTATCTAAAACCCACTTTCCGTCCCCGTCAAGTGTTTTATTATTTTTTTTCTTTGCTTGCTTTATTAATTTCTGTTTTGGCCAAACCCATTCTCGCTGCGACAAGTTTGTCCATCGAATGAGGCAATCTGTATGTTATATATGAATCACGATGGTTCAGATCGTATCGATATAGTATAGCCTAGTGATTTTTTTTTTTTGGCGATCTGGAAAGCTGTCCGGTTGCCATAAATCAGGTGGAACTTGGCGATGGCGAAGGGGAGCTAAGTGGGTAGGACGATCGATGATCATGTACAAAGCCATGTTGTACATGGCTTCGACTTCGTTTTCGGTTTTGCAGTTGTCAAAAATTCGCACATTTTTTTTGAAAATCCCCTCATGTCCCTCTATCTTCCCTCTTCTCTGTCAAGAGGGCCGATTGGCCTCCAAAAAATGCGTGAGTGCGTGTGCTTTTTGAGTTGTCATTGTCATGTAGCCGGCAATTAAAATTGGTCCCCTTTTTGCCTTCGCATCCGTTGGATACCCAAAAGCCACCCGTTTGAGGAGACCCCCCTGGAACCCCCTCTAAACCCTTTTGGTGCCCCCTTTTTTGGGGCCCGGGGGCAGCTGTTAAATAATTTATGAAGTGCGTAAGGTTTCTGTCGCGCATTTCAAGCAGTTTCAGCTTTTTCTTCACTTCGAATCGACCAACTTCGGCCAAATATTTGCGCATCGCTCACGCACTTTTTAAACATTTTTTTCTTTTTGGGTTGGAGCGTCTTGGCCACAAAAAAATACCCTGTAATAAGGGGTACCACTTAAGTTTATGGAGCTTGTATAAGAAAAAAAATACTAAATATTTAAGGAAAGATCCTAAGAAAAGTGAAAGAAATTCTCTTAAAGAAAGGTTATTCCTCGGAGACTATTTAGTAAATACATAAAATAAAATTAATAATTAATTTATTAAAAGTTCTAAATTCAAATATATAATAATAATAATATATATATAAATATATGTAATAAAATGATCTAAAAATAATACTTAATGAATAATTGAAGAAGATATAAAGCAAATTTGGCGAGAAAACAAAATTTCTTTGGGAAAGAACATTAATAAAATGTTGTTATTTTATTAATACATTAAATAATAAACCAAAGACATAAAAATCATTAAATAAAAGAATAATAAAATAATATTATTAAAAGAGTACTTGACTCTTCGTCTTAATTCAAACTTTCTTAAGTCGTTTTTGGACTGAAATCAATTTGGTTTTGTTTTGTCAGCCGGAAAATATTTGGCCACGCAGGTTTTTTTTGTTTAATTTTTTTTTTTTAGTTTTTTTTGTAATGTTTTGTGCGTTGCTCATTAAACATTTTGGCCAAATTTTGCGATCTGCATGCAAATGTTGCTGATTAGACGGGGCGTCGAGTTGGCCATTAATCAATGGCCAAGAGACTTTTGGTGGGGTACCCAGGGAAATAAACACGAGCCAAGTGGAAACTGGAGCGGTTTCAAGAGGGGCACCTCTTAACCAGGGTCCAGAACCAAAAAGAAACCCCCACTAGAAGTGAAAAGCAAAACCCAAAAAGGCCAGACGCGAACTTGGCCAAGAACTAGATTCCCCTCTCTTCCGGATCTGCTTGGTCTGGTATTCCCCGGCCAGAAAACGGATCACGGAATGTTCGCTCAACCTTGGCGCAGAGTCAGGCCAGGATGGAGGGTTTGTTTCTGCACAGCAAAAAATATTAAGTAACTTGTAAAGAAAACAAGAACCTAAAAAAAAACTAAAAAGAAAATATTAAAACAAGAATTCAAAGCCAAAAAAAAACCGTGATTAAACTCCTGCAACACTTCTAAGTAAACTCTAATTTCCTGGAACTACTATAAGTTGCTTTTTGATGTCATTTAATTTACTTAATTTTAATAACATTTTCTTCAAGTGTAGCACTGTCTGTGGGGGAAGTGTTAAGCTTGCGGAATAGGGAAAAAAGAAAGAGCCTGATTAATTATGAATTGAGTGTCTGAGCCACAGCCGCCGGTTGCCTGCACTTGCACTTGTGCACTTTCATGCACTTTTATGCGGCACTTGTTGCTCCTGCTCCCTGCTTTCCCCCCTTGGTTTTCCCTCCTTGCCCTTGGCCTTGCGGCACTTTTCATATTTTTACGCTTTGCGAAGTTCGCCGGCACAGACAGGTGGAGGAGGAGGGGGCCACCCCGGCGAGGGGAGGCATTCGAGCAACAACTTTTGTCACGCCACAAGTTCAGACGGAAAAGTCAGGAGCGGTTCTAGGGGTTACCAAATATTCTTATGTGCCAAAAAAATTAAATATAAATATAAAAAAATGTGCTACAAAAATTAATAAGACTCAAATTAATATTATTAATTTAATTTCTGAATTATTTTCTTTATCATTATTAGCTTTCCTTTTAAAAACTTGCAGAAATTTAATAAAATATAAATTTAAATTATATCTGCCAAATTTTAAAGAGTGTTAAAGATATTTTCAAAAGTTTAGTGTAAGAAGTGGTTAAATCTGAGATATATATTAGAAAACTAAATTATTTAACCATAAAATTTTCCAAACAAATATTTAAAAATATATATATAGAATATCTTTGTATAATATAAAGAAAATATATAAGCAGATATATAAAATAACATAATACTCAATAAAAGAATATAACTTATTAAAGAAATGAGGTACCTACATAACCAAGCTAAAAAAATCTTGATTAATTATAATTATTATTATTATATTGTTTAATAAACCCTTAATTTTTTGAGATCCCCTCCTGTCTGTAGCTGCACTTGCCACTTCACTTGCAAGAAGTTGCAACTTGGGGCATGAGCATGCACTAATGCTCAGCGGCACGTCCCAGTGTCTTTATCATATAAACGGTGCGATTTAAATTAATAATTAAGGCAAGCTCTGTGGTTGTGGTCTCTTCAGAGTTTTCAGTCTTTGGGTGTACCATCTGCAGGTGGATTGCAGGTGGATGCAGTGGATTAAACTGGCCAACTTTGATGCAATAAATCAACGTGAACATTGGGTCTTGTCCAGAAACCCCAAAGAGTGTGCTCAGCCAAATGAGAAGTTACTCATCCCCGAAGGAGGAGAATCTTGAATCAAAATACCAAATCTAAATCCATTAACCATTAACCATTAGCAATTACATGCCAAAGACACGGAGGCTTTAGATTATTAATAGATCTTTTAAATAGAGAAACGATAAGGAGATGATCCTACCAACTTACTTTAGGGTAAAAATATACCTTTATGAAGCCCTAAAAATCTCTCAACTTCAGTTAACTTGGCTGCAAGTGTCAGAGCCATTTATTCCTGCCATTGAAATGGGTCTAAAGTGATTTTAATTTTACTAAATTTACCGTGCTTGCAATCGCTAATAGAGGAGACTCCGCCAAAAAAAAGGCAGTTTAGGAACATCAGGAGGATATTAAATCTCTGCCAAACCTAAAGATGTTAATGATGGATGCCTTGTTCAATAGTCTGCTGGTGGTTAGCTCCAGCTATGCCATGTACACTTTGCATCCATTCGAGACACCTTATGGGTATGCTGTGGCAACTTTAAGTCTGGTCCATGGCCTAATTGGAGTGGTACGATCATCCCACAATGATGGCGAAGAGGATGAGTGCAATCGCATTCGATTGATAACCAATGGAATGATGGAGATTGTGCCATTACCTTTGACAAATATCGAACTATATCTACGCTCAACTAGCCCAGGTCTGGCCCTGCCCCACCTTTGTTTTGTGGTGCCTTTGGTCTATGATATGGTGGCCAAGATGCGGGACACTGAGGATCATGCCACCGAAACCCTCAAGGAGCTAACCCTGCTGGGCAATGCCGTCTCTCTGCTATTTTTGGGCATTAATCAGGCCAATCGGCTATATGGTGACCTGGCTGTTATTGCCTTTTTGGGACGTTATGGTTCCTCAATTCTGGACTATTACTGGGAGGGCCTGGGCTCTGACTTTAATCTGCTGGCCCATTCAATGTATATCATTCTGATGACCATAACACTGTCGGCCAAGTGAGCAGTAAGCAGATCAGCAGCACTTTAAAATACAAAATAAATACTTGGGTCTTTATTAGTTAATTGCATTTAATTTTATTTAAGAAGTTATATTTTGATGCGACGCTTATTCATTCTACAAGGCCAACATCCCCATGGTTCATTGGCTCTTTTGGCGGCTCAATAAACTTGCAATTAATGTTGGCAAATTAAAATGCAAAAATAAACATTAATTGTTTTGTCACACTCGCAGCACGACCAAAAAAAATTAAGTGTTGCCGGCATCTACATCTTTTCTTCTGTCTCCATCCTTCACCTCCTCAGACATCTCCATCTCCATCTCCATCTTCATCCTCATCCCCATCTCCATCTCCATCTCCATCTTCATCTCTATCCCAAGCCAATCTCCAGAGACTCATCCGGAGATCCAGCTGGGGATAACATTTTAGCTTCAATTTACAACGTCAACGATTCGGAAACGAACCCAAATGAGCTCAACGCAAACAAAAAAATGGGAAATAAAAAGGAAAACAAGGATAAAATGTTTGATTTAAGATGATTTTTTGTTTAAAGTGTTTCATGCTTTTTGATACATATACAAAAAAAATTTCGCAAATAATTGTAGCTAAGCCTCCTCCATCCTTTTTATATAAGCTTTGAAATTCAGCTCACCTATATTTATTCAATAATCTATACATTTTCGTATATTAATATATTTCAGGATCCCTTCAAGGACCCTCTTTATTGTCTACTTTGGGGCGTTGAAAGGCGCGAATCTCGGTGGCGGACTGCTAATGAAACGGCGCCATAAAAGCGACTAACAAATGTGCGGAAAAGAGCTGCGAACACCGCGGATGGGTAATAATTTATGCATTTTAATTAATTGCCAGTTTGCCAGGGACCCCGTCTTCCCGTTTCCCAGCTTTTATGATCTGGCTCTAAAGAACGACCCCCCGGGACTCCCGCAGGGTCCCCGCCGCGGACTAATCATGTCGTCATTTGCATTTCGTCGAAACCCAAGGGGTTAATGTCGATGCAACAACTACAACAATAACAATAACTTCAACAATATTATCAACAACTGTTATTATTGTTGTTGATAATATTGTTGAACCAACAACAACAGACAAATTCATTTGTGCCTTTAAAAGACGATCCATTTATTTTATGAATCAAAACCAAAGGAGGAAGTATCAAAGATAAAGCAAGACAAGAAATACAGTGAAGAATCGAAGAGGGTATACTTGAAATATATACTGGTATGTAGTATAATATATAACATATAATATCATATAGTATATACCCGTACTTGTGTAAATTCTTAATTATTATTATTATGCAAGGGTATTGTAATTTTAGTCAGAAAGGTATATTTCTGTAAGGAGTCATTTCCGACCCTATAAATCATATATATTCTTGATCAGCATCAACAGCCGAATTGTTCTAGTCATCTCAGACAGAAATATTTTTTTGTTTAATTTTTGTCAAAATTTTATAAGGGGTCACATCGTTAAAATTTTCAAAAATTTATAAAAAAAAATTAAATCTTTTTTTAATTTAAATTAAGTATGCAGATTTATTAATCTAATTAAAAATAACATATAACAGCTTTCCGAATTAAATTTAATGCTTTTTTGGCTAAGTTATGTGTTTTTTAAGTTATGATTTTCAACAAAAATTGTCATATAAAAATTTCGATATATTTTGATTTAATAAATTCTAATATTTTAAGCTTATTTAAGATCGATGTCCGATTCGATTTTATAAATCAATGTTCAATCTGCAATCGTTTACCCAAAGTTACATTTCTATAAACAGTTTTTAAAGTTGTGCAAGGCTTCTTGTTATATACCACAATTTAATTATTAATTAAAATAATATATATATCTAACATATATAATTAATTTATAAGTTTCTTTTTACTCGAGGAATTCTGAATTTTATCGGTTTTTATACGTTTTTTTTTTTTGTTTTGTGTTAACATTCAAAGTTAGCAACACTGCGTATACGTAATATTTCAATGCGTATACGTAATATCTTAATGCGTATACGTAATTATTCTTAACATTTTCTGTATAGGCTTTACATCATTTAACTTTTACTCAATTATATAGAAAGTTTAGCTCAATATAAACTTATTTTGAATTATTTCTTTTAATTTTAAGGAAAATACACTATAAAATAATGCCAAGAATTTAAGGAACACATTATATAAAAATAATATAAATAAATAAATAAATAATTATAAGCTTCTTTTTACTTGATTTAAGAATTATACGATTATACGATTATTTTTTGTGTTAATATTCAAAGTAGACCACACTGCGTATACGTAATAAATCAATGCGTATACGTAATAAATCTCAACATTTTCGAAATAAGCTTTACAGAATTTAACTAAATATATAATTATATTGTTTAATTTCAAAGAAAATACACTAAGATTTTGCCAAATTTATAAGAAACACATCATTTTATTCTGCCATATAATAATTTTTTAAGTAAACTTAATCCCTAGCTGGCTTTTTCTTGAATGGTTCACCCTAACGACCTATCACTGTCTACACTGCAAGCTGTAACCGCAGAAACATTTCAAAAATGCCAACAAAAACAACAAGAAAAAAAAACAAATAAAGGAAGAAAAAAAAAAGAATGCGAAAATCAACAAACCGCGAGAAGCAGCGAAACAAAACAGAAAACGGAAACAGCGGAGAACCGAAGAGGAAGCAGCCGAACAAACAAAAACAAAACGCGAAAAATCGAAAAGCGCGCGCTGAAAAATTGCACGCGAAATGCGCCGGCGCAGCCGCCATCCCCTCGCGCCCTCTCGCTCGCTCTTCCCCTTGGCCCGGGGCGTGACTGTGCTGCAAGTTCAAAAACCTGCAATTTGCCGTCTCGCTCGCTCGCGTCTCAATGACTCAGAGCGTCAGTCGGTTAAAAAAGCCGGCCGGCATTGTTTTCTTTTTCTACTCATTTTATTTTTGCATTTATTTTTTTCCCCTTACTCGCTGCTGGCGCTGCCTTCTTTTGCTCTTTTTCCCTTGTTTATTAAAGAAAAAAAATACAAATAAAATAAAGACAGACAGCGAACAAAAAATAAAAAAAGCAAAATAAAAATAAATATAACAAAAAGAAACAACGATGCATGCAAAATGAATGCGGACGAAAAGAGTGCGAATACTGCTAATGAATGCGAAATGGAACACAGAGACAGAGAGACCGCAAATGCAGGCAACGAGGCAAAGAGTATCGCAAACGTGAATACCCTGTAAACCAATTTAATATGCAAACTTGTTTGATTTAGTATTTTATATGACGTATGTATGGAACATTGATCACCTAGGAAGGGTGTAAAAATTATTATACAAAATATATTTTAATATATTGTAAACAAATTATTAGAGAAAGGTTTGAAAAATAAGTGATAAACATAGGAAGCTTGAAATATTTAGAAATTGCACAATTTAAATTTCTTTGAATATTTTTAAATTAAATTCCAAGCTGTTTTTAATAAGGAACAAACTATTATTTAAACTATTAAGATGCGAGAAGGTGTTTAATAAAAAAACGGAATGTTTCTTGATAAAGAAAAAACATGTATATAACTAAAAACTAAAACCACTAAAAAAATATTTTAAGCTTTCCAAAAATCATATATACCCCTAATACCCCCCGATAACATTCGCCATATCTTTAATGAGCGTTCGAAAAGAAACGGTCAAAATCTGAGAGGCGACGCCAACGCAACCGGCATCTTTCGATATATACGAATACTATATCTTATATGCGGCTTATATGTATGTATGTAGTATATTTCGCGATTTGTGTATTTAAAAAAATAATAATACTAAAAAACTGCGCTTGGGAACCGCGAACAGCGAACCGCGAACTACGAACTGCGACTTTTGGCGTTGCTGCGCAAGCGCATTCTTGTTGTTGTTGTACGTGATTTGTTTACGAATCTTAACAAACTGTGTACACAAAATGTTTTAAATTACCACGAAAGGCGTCGTCCGTTCAAATAAAAATAAATAAAATGTTGTGCGCACACACAAAAACCGCAGCTCAGAAATCACAGCTCTCGCCATTTATTTGCACTGGCCCACGGACTAAATCAATAATTGCGAAATGATCGTCACCTGCACTTAGAGAAGTTTATTTAGTGAATGTAAGCTAAAAACAGATGAATATATTAAATCATGGATGAACAGCTGTTTTGGCAAACTAATGCTGACTATCTTCTACACTCTACAAAGTAACTAAAGTGACTTTTTTTTTTAAATTATACATTTCATGACAATGCAATGAACATATATCCTTAAAGGGTATTAAAACTATAGTCATATGCTTGCAAAGCATTGAAGGAGTCATTTGTGACCCTATAAATCATATATATTCTTGATCAGCATCAACAGCCGAGTTGTTCTAGCCATCAACGACAAAAAAAAATATATATTTTTCAATATTTTTTAAAATTTTATAAGGGGTTACATTGCTAAAATTTTCAAAAATTCATAAAATTTTTAAATTTTTAATTGAGTAAGCAGATGTATTAACCCAATAAAAGCTAGCTCAGAGCATCTTTGGGAAATGAAATTACCGCCTTTTTGGCTTAGTTATAATCGATTTTCTATTTGATATTTAGATGAAATTGGGAACTGCAAGGGTATACAAATTCGGCTTTCTGACGATAGCCTTCCTTCTTGTTTTTGTTAATTTTTTGGAAGATTCAGTATGAAATAAAATTATTTAGCTTTTAATTTAAAAAAATACCATATATATGACCATAATTTAAAGGGGGGCACTAAGTTGCTATTTAAAAAAAATCATATATATTTAAAAGTATAATTTCTTAAATATTTATATATAAATATTTATATAAATAAAATGTAGTTCAATATTAAGAATTTCCAATACAAAAATCATTAACAATTGAAGAAAATATACAAGAAAATGTGTTGAGTATTTCGTAATCCTTAGAAAGGGCCCGAAAAAGTATGCTATACAATTTTTAAGCACCAAATGAATCGCAAAAGTTGATATTTTTATGAGAATTTTTTGTAA